AGTCAGGGATAAGAGGAGGGAGAGCACCATTTTTTTGCTGATTCCTAATCCTCACCCTCGGAAGAGTCCAGGGCCCCAGAATCCAGTGAGCCATGAGACACACCTGCTGTCCTTTCCCACAAGTAGGAAAAATACTCTTTTCCCTCATTTTGTGGATAAAGTCCAGCTAGCATAACCAAAGGATCTGCGATTCCTAAATTCTCCCCTCTTAACCCCAAGTCAAAGCCCATTGACTTCCCAGCCAGATCCAGAGGTAACATGGTAGTAATCTGAAGTCTCCTTGAGTAGAGTCAGACCAGTCTGTCTGGAAGATCATTAGGTATTGCTAAGGCATTACAGTATCCTGGAGAAAGCAATGGATTTGGAGTCAGAAGACCTAAGTTCAACTCCTAGTTCTGTCATTTACTTGTGTGACCTTGAATATGACATTTCCCCTCCCTGGGCACTAGTTTCTTCATCTATAGAATGGAGTGGGGCCAGGGAGAGTGAAAGAAATTCAAAGACAGAAATTAAGGTCCCATATGTACCAAAACATTCATATGAGCACTCTCTGTAGTAGCAAGAAACTAGAAATAAAGGGGGTGACCAAGTGGGAAACACCTGAAAAATGTTACATGTATGTAATGTAATGTTCCTGTGTTGTACGAAATGACATCTAGGAAGAAGTCAGAGAAATGTGGAGATCTGTATGGTCATGACAACTATTATCAGGTAAAGATTGCTAAAAAGAAGTTAAACTCTGAGTAATGGAAAAACCAGTGAAGTTCACAGAGAAGAGATAGTGAAACATACCTCCTCCCTCACAGCAGAGAGGTGGGGGGCTATCAGGACAGAATACTGTATACTGTATCAGTCTCTGTATCATATGTTTTTGTTTAACTGTTTTTCTTTGTGACAGGGGAGCACTCATTCTGGAAAGAACATTAAGAAATAATCTGATATGAGGACAAAAGGCATCAATAAAACATGTTTTTAAAATAAAAAATAAGAATTAGATTATTTCTAAAAATGTTTCCATTTTTAGTATTTTATGATTCTGGTAAAAAGTGTCTTATTTACTAATTTTTTAAATTAATTTGTTTATTCAATATTTGAAAATCTAATGTGTCCCACAGGGGATTTCAAGGAAGCAAAAGATTCAGTTATCTGTCACTAGTTGGGGAAATAAAGGGACTAAGTGGGGGTAGGGGATGGGGAAGACAGGAGATCTGAGCTGAGAATCTTGAGCCCTGATGGCACTGTACAGGTAGGGCCTAAACTTTAGGCTATCACGCTATGACATACTACTGCCACCTGGTGGTTACAGATGAGAAGTGCCAGCTTATCCCTGGGTATGGACATAACCCTTTCCCCCAAATCCTTTCTTCTCTACTCCTGCTGTTTCTATTTCTCTAAGATCTTTCATTTATTCTTATGGGCTTGGAAGCACAGTGCCTACACTTCTACCAGGTCTCCATTTTTTCTGACGTGAAATAGTCTGTCCATCCCCTACTCCTCTTGCCAAGGTTTTGAAACTAAACTTTAGAGAAACGAAACAGAAATGTTTTGAGAAGTCAAATAATTGGTGTCTTGGAGAGAAGACAGGTGGCATGATGACTTCTGACCACACAAACTGTACAGATTTTGGAACTCTTAGGCAAGATTGTGGCTAGGAATCCTTCTGAGAGTGTAAGACCCTAGTAATCTGAATGATTCCCAGTACCTAGTACTAACTACCCTTTCCCCAAGGATTCAGAATAGCTGCAGATGGAGGGAAGCCAGCCACGAGAAGATCATATCCCATTACTGCTCACACATACTCTTGACCTTGTGAGATGCAGGAATGCACACACACATACAACCTGGGGGGGAATAGAAGACAGAGGTTTGGAGAAGCACTAGAACAGAAAGGGAAGAATATACCTCTGTATAGGCCATGAGTGTCCAGGAAGTCACTGTCTCCGGCCTTGATGCCATGGAGGAAGGAAGCAACTAATTGTCTGCTTACTCCCTTTCCCCACCTCTACCTTGTAATAGACCCTGGAAGAAGTTCCTCTTCTTTCCTGTCTTTCTATCTGCCAGATTCCTGGGTACTGACCAAACCTCAGAGGATTCCAACCTTAGATCCTCTCTTCTCTCCTTCTTTTGAGCCCTCCTCTTTTCCCTTCCCTCCCCACTTCCAAGCCCTGTTCCAAAGCCCCTGAAACAGACCTATCATTTAGAGATGGACTGGAGGTGGGGGCAAAGCTTACAAAGGCATTTTTACAGGAACCAATCCCTCTCTTGAGGGAAGGGCATTGTGGAGGGGAATTTCGTTGGACATAGACCAGATGCCACCTGGACTAGAAGCCATTGGGATGATGCTGATGCCCCTGGAGGTATTGGACAGTCAGACCCCATCCTCTCTGGGTTGTTAGGGATGAAGGGGGATGACCCTGACTCACCACAGAAAAGTTGTGGGGGCCACAGGGGCCCCCTCGATAGGAGCAGTAGAGCAGCATGTCCTCCAGCCGGTGGCAGGAGCGATTGTAGAAACGGTGCAAGTTGAAGGGCTCCCCAGAGAAGGCATCAGGGCCTGGTGGAGCAAGGGGCACACCAGGGTCTTCCCCATCCTCCAGCCCGAGCAGTGGGGCCAGGTAGAGCAGGTCAGGATAGCTGAGCTGGGACAGCCTCACAGCATTCGTGTTGCAAAAAGTAACAGCTGGAAAGGCCAGCTCAGAAGTGGATACCTCATCCAGCAGGGTCACATGTGGGTAGCTTCGGTAATAGGTGACCCGATCCCCCACCTGGTACAAAAAGGTGCCCAGTGCCAGGGCAAAGGCCACAGCCCATAACGCCTGGCGTGGCCCTAAGCCTCCTGACACAAAAACATGGCTGGCACCATGGAGGGTACAGCTGTTGGCAAAGGCCACCAAGTCCATAGCTAAGCCTTCCTCTTCCTCCTTTGCCTCTCTCTCTTCCTCCTCCTCCTCTTCCTCCTCTTCTGACTCAGATTCAGAGCCCTCCTGCTGCTGTTGGTTGGAGCCCCAGCTGTCTCTTACAGCCCCTGGGTCCTCACCCGAGGAGAAGGACAGAGAGCAGAAAATCTGGATGGGCATCTTTGGGAGATCAATGGAGGGAGATGGAGAGATGATGTCCCTGGGACTGAAAGGATGGAAGGAGGAAAGGGGAGGAGCAAGAAAAGAAGGGGATAAGATGCCTAGGCCTGGGCTAGCAGGCAATGCCAGTCAGCCGTGACCCAAAGCAATCCAGCTGTCTGTGCCTGAGCCCTTGTGGGGAGTGTAGAGGGAGAAGAAGGAGGGAATGTGGGGCGGAGCTGGGGAAGAGGCAGAGCCGTTCAGTCATCTATGCTGCTGAATAATTCATGGCTATGAGAAGGGGGAGGTAGTGCAGAGCAGAAAAGCAAAGCCCCAACCTCCACCCCCACCCCAGACCTACCAGCTTCAGCTAAGGGATGAGGAATGGGATACGTACGAGAAGGCCACTTACAACTCCGACCCTCCCACACAGACGAAGAATCCTGTAGGATTGCAATTGCTTAAACTAATGACCAATGCTCCTTGTTTCCACCTCCCCCATGAAATATAGAGGGTAGGGCCTGGTCCAATAGTCACCTGTATTTTTGATCTAGCTACAGTAACTGACTCAGCAAATCCCTCCTCCCTTTCCCCTCCCCCCTAACATCTCTACCCCAGGTTCTGGTTTAAATCACTCTCCAACACCATACCAGTTATTTCCTGGGTCCTCATCCCGATCTAGTCCCTCCTCTGAGCTGATGGTCTCAAATTCCTTTTAAATCACAGCACTTAACTAACCTCTTCCTATAGCTAGGAAGCTAACCAAGCTCTCTTCTTATAACTCCCCTCCTATTTTTCTAATCCCTCTAGTCCCTTCCACTGGACTCTTACTCCTCTCCTCACCTAACCCACAACAAATCCAATTGATGCCTTCCCCCCCCCCCCCCCCCCCCCCCCCCCCCCC